ACTAATATAAAACACATATATATGTACTGATACAAAACTTATGTCAATAAAACATGAAACAACAACAGCAAGATTAAAACCTCTTCCGGTTCTCTTCTCTCGCGCAAGACCTTAGTCTTTTCATGTCGGTAAAAGTCAACTATTTCACCACAATTGAGTCCATGTCAAACTGAAGAACAAAGTAAGAGGTAAACATGGTTATAAATATGTCTCAAACACTCTACTTGAAGGCCTAATTCTTCTTTGCTAAACTTGAAAAACAAAGTAAGAGGAAAACATGGTTATAACATAGTAATCCATTGTATTTTATATAGAAACGAACTTTTTATATCTAAAACATTACAATGATGAAGAACGGTAGTGTNTTCTTCTTTGCTAAACTTGAAAAACAAAGTAAGAGGAAAACATGGTTATAACATAGTAATCCATTGTATTTTATATAGAAACGAACTTTTTATATCTAAAACATTACAATGATGAAGAACGGTAGTGTATTCAATACATATCATGCAACTTTATCTCAAATAGAATAGTTTATCAATCGATTCTATCTCAAATAGAATAATTTTAACATATAATATTTTCTATTCTATTTCAAATAGAATATGCAAAGGTCTGGAATTTTAGTTTTTTCATGTCGGTAAAAACAGTAAATAACATAGAAAATCGCCAAAGGTCTGGAATTTTTATGAATTTCTATTCCATTTAAATTGGAATACACCAAACAGGTATGGATCTACTTATGACAACGAGAGAACTGTACATGCAGTGACCAACCCAATTGTACAGAGGAATAATACGAAACTAAGAGGAGAGTGAATAGAAGAAAGAGAGAACTTACATTTTTGGGGACGCGGAGTAGAGACAGAGGAAGCTTACAGTTCAAGTACCGGAGGAGATGGGGAAGGTGCGTAAGACGACAGAGACGAATAATTTGGGAGAGAAAGATGGATTGGCGGGATGAAGTTGCCGTGTTCTCCGAGACGTTTCACTTGAGCCGAGGGCGACGATGGACAGTAGCTATGAATGTCGCAGAGAAGAAGACGGTTTCTACGGAGATACTGGTGGTTTCTAGGGATTAAGTGGTGGTGTTCGTTTGCGTAGAAGTTACTGGGAATCGTGAAGTAATTGGTGGAGTGGGATAAGACATGATTTACAGTCATAAACCAATTGAATAATTTAAGATTTTTTTTTGTCAGCCGGTGGAATAGCTTGTTAATCGATTCCATCACAAATAGAATAGTTTAAACATACAATTTTTCTATTCCATCTCAAATAAAATAGAAATAAGAGATCTCACGCATATAAATTATCTTACAGATGCTGTTAAGAATCGGGGAAACCAAAATCCTAAATCAATTGGCAAACTTTGACCCAAAAATCAGATCCAACATGCAATTGTATCGAGGTTGTAGATTTACCAATTATAATACCTTAATTCGACAATTGCCCAAATAGAAAGGAAAATAAAAAAATATGAAGAGATTCAAAGATAAACATCTGAGAACATACTGTAGTTCCAAAGATTTGGAAAGAATCGACTTGGTGAAGTTGGAGAAGAAAATTCTATTACTGAACGCCACTGCTACTTTAACGTCGTACGATGTCGGAGGATGACACAAGCGGAGAAAAATAAAGGATTGGAATGGGAGTACAAAGGAGATGGCAAATCTTTTGAAATCAGGCGGAGGCGATGCTGTGGAGATCCAGAAATCGGTGCCGGAGACCTTTCGACTCAAGAAAAGAAGGGGAAGATGTGAAATTGGATAAGCCACGATATACTTTTGTGTGTCTTATCATTAATATTTTTTTTTATTTTTTTAGCAGGTTACACCGGTTAAAGGAAGGGGTATTACAGTATTAATATGTATATATAACGGTGTCTATAGGTCTGTTAGGGTAAATGGTTAGTACGTGAATTATGTTTTTTTTTCTATGGTTATACGTCCCAATTTCCCATAAAAAAACGACCCCACATCCAAAATTCTAACCATTAGTGGCTACCAACATAGCCGACCTATAAATGGATGCAAATAGTCCATTGTCTCTGGACCCACAAGTTTTTATGTTGCTAGTTTGATTTTTTTTAAACACATTTAGATATTTTTTATACTAAAACTGATTTGAAAACATAAATATTACAATTATTAATATATTTATAACTAAATAGTTTTCAAAATTCTTATATAGAATGGTTAAAAATGATTTCTCATATTTCTTTCCTTTTGAAAATAAAAAATATTCTAATATATCACATTATTTTTTCTTACAAATTTGAGATGTGCTGGTTTTCAGTGGTAATGTTACAGCATTTGATTGGAGATTATAAAGGCAACCACTTTGGGACTTTGGGGGTTACTATGAAGGCCGGCAATGAATTAAGAGCATCATTAATCGGAGTGATTAAGTGGATTGCTTAATAATTTTTGGATTTAACAAAAAAAAAGAAAATATTTTAATAAAATAAGAAGTGGTGCTTGAAGAGTGCTTAATTAGGCTGTTGAAGAAATGGTGTTTCAGGGATGTTTAATCATTTATTAGTAAAAAGTTGGCGACATCCCACCAAAAAAAAAAAAAAAATTATGGCGACTAAAATCTCTACTTTATAAGCTTTAGAGTATTGTGTTAAAAAAAAAAAGCTACTATTAACCCTAGCACCTCTAATGGATTACTTAATCAATTTTTTACTAATAAATGATTAAACATCCCTGAAACACCATTTCTTCAACAGCCTAATTAAGCACTCTTCAAGCACCACTTACTCTTTTATTACAATATTTTTCTTTTTTTTTGTTAAATCCAAAAAATATTTAATGTATATTAGTTTATAGAAGTTCTACTGTATTTAGTTTATTCAGTTTGATCATATACGAACGTCTAATTCAAAGAATATCTTACTTTATTCTTTTTTAATTATTGTCATTTTTATTAAATGTAAAGTATAAAATAATTTCTAACCTAATATGTATTTTCTTTTCTTTACTCTTAACACTATATTTTCTTTATGTACTCATATTTTATTGATTGTTATTCCATTATGTAAATTTTATCTTCTATAATTTTCCTGTGATTTTTATAATTTGTTTTAGAAATTTCTAAAAATTTTGACGATAAAGAATTCCTAAAATTTAAACAAACATATAATAATTATGAATTAGACACCATTCGGATTCGAAAATGCACTGTTTCTATTAGGTTTGGGCATTCGGGGTCTGTCGGATTCGGTTCGGTTGATTCGAATTTTCGGTATAATATTTACAAATCTCATTTGGGTTTTACAAATTATCAGGTCGGATTCGGTTCGGTTTCTTCTGGATTCGATTCGGTTCGATTGAATTATAAAAAATGTATTAAATCGTCCAAAAATATTTGTTTTGAACTAAAAAAAATGACAAAAAAAACTTAACATATATAAATAATTCACAAATCTAACTAAAACAAGTTAAATTACCTAAAATAACTAAAAGTTATTGAAAGTAACAAATAAAATAAACTATAAAAATCTTTAAAATATTTTAAAACATCTAAATTACCTTAACATATATAAAAATGGTAATATATTTCACTAATTTTAAGTATAGTTGGAACCAAGTTTGGATTTCAGTTAGGTTCGGTTGCATCCATATTCCAACGTACCAAGTTCCCAAGTTTCATCAAATATTTTTGTATAAGGGTTTGGAATTCGATTCGAGTTAAAGTAGAGAGTTCGGTTTGGAGTAAAAACACATATGCCTAGTTTCTATGATAATTTCTAAACATAAAAATAAAAAATAAAAAGAAATGTAGAAAGTAGAATCAAATGAAGTTTTCATCCGAGAAACTTAACAAAAAAAATCTCTGTATGTTGCGATGCATGGTAATTGGTTCACTTTACGTTAACGGTTTCAAATTTAATTATTAGTTATATTATATTAAAATTGGTAATATTTTATTTATGAGATATTTTATTTGAGATACTAAATAGATGTGGGTGCTCCAGATAAGAAAGCTACCGGTCTTAAATCTTCAGAGGCTTTCTCTTGTGGACTACAAGATCTCAACGTTGCCGAAACTAGTAATTGAGTTGAAAGCTGAAATTGACTACCCACCTCTTTGCTAGTTGCTGGCCCCATGGAATGGGGTTCTTCTTTAGCGCACCTACTGGTGTTGTGAGTCTTGTGACTCTGCTTTAAGCTTCTCTTTCATTCATTTCATTTTTGTGGATTTTCTTACTTTTAATTGCTTTCTGTTTCAGACTCTGTATTGGATAATTCGTTTCTCTTTAGATTATGGAGTAATAAAGTTTCGATGTCAAAAATAAATAAATAAACGTAAAAATAAAGTTTCTGACTGGCAAAAAAAAAAATCTATCTTCAAAAAAAAAAAAAAAAAAAGTGCACGACAATCTATCTTCTTTCTATAGATGAGAAAGTATTGTAAAAGCTTTGAGAAATGAAAGGGTCCAATTTGGTCACCAGAATTGATTCGTAAGGCTCTAAAAGTGTAGGACACTTGTAAAAACATTCTAAACTCTTTGATTCTTCATGATGAAACATCAATGCACTAAGATGAGAATCTTTTGAATCATCAATGTACTCAGATTTAACAAACGTTTTCTTAACTGAAAAGTTTAAGAGTCAATTAACTTTAGTCAGAAAACCAAATCCACCAAAAAAAAACTTTAGATAGAAACTCACCACCAAACAAGGTTTAATAGTTTGAAAATCGTTGGATTTTTGTAAGGCTTTAATACATTCTCATCCTATCCGATCATGAGATGCTCTCATGCCCACAACCTTTACCGGCTTCACCCAACCCAATGTTTGATTCTTAACCGTCACTGAACCAATCGAATGGCCGAGGAAGTCACAGCGCAGCACATAACGTATGTACAGATTCTCACAGACTAATAAATGCTTTTGTAGTTATTTGGCTTGTGGCTACCCTAAAAGTCACATGTTCGTCATGGTAGTACAATCACATGGTTATATATTTTAACTATTTGCCCAACTCTCACTCTTACTCTACTCGACTTCGCTTATAAGCATCAACACATACATACGTTGATTTCAAAACCAACACCACTCTTCTCGATGGAAAAGCAAGAAGCAGAACTCATCTTCATCCCTTTTCCGGTCACCGGCCACCTTCTCGCCACCATAGAACTCGTGAAACTTATCCTCAGCCACGACCCTCGTCGTATCCACACCACAACCATCCTCCAATGGGGGTTACCTTTCCTTCCTCAGTCGGACAGCGACGCTTCCCTCAAGTCTCTAGCCAAGTCAGACTCTCGCATCCGTATCGTCACCTTACCCGAGCTCCAAGACCCTCCACCAATGGAGTTCTTCTTAAAAGCTCCCGAAGCTTACATTCTTGAATTCGTCAAGAAAATGGTTCCTTCAGTCAGAGGCGCTGTCTCGACAATCCTGTCCTCTTCTCGTGTCTCGGGAATCGTCCTCGACATGTTTTGTGTCCCTTTGATGGATGTCGGAAACGAGTTTCAACTCCCTTCTTACATTTTCCTCACTTGTAACGCCGGGTTCTTGAGTTTGGTGAAACACATTCCGGAGAGACATCGTCGAGTCAAGTCCGGGTTCGACCGGAGCTCCGGTGAGGAGGAGAATCTGGTTCCTGGTTTCGTCGCCTCCGTTCCGACCAAGGTTTTGCCACTTGGTCTGTTGACGAGTGAGTCCTACGATACTTGGGTCGAGATGACCGGAAGGTTTCATGAAGCTAAGGGTATTTTGGTAAATTCATCTCCATGTATCGAAACTAACGCTTTTGGTTATTTCGATCGTATACCCGTAAATGAATACCCACCCGTTTACCCAGTGGGTCCTATTCTCTGCTTTAACGACCGTCCGGTTTTGGACCCATTGGAGCGAGATAGGGTGATGACGTGGCTCGACGAGCAACCAGAGTTGTCGGTAGTGTTCCTCTGTTTCGGGAGCTTGAGGAGTCTCGCTGCGACTCAGATTCAGGAGATAGCTCAAGCGCTAGAGATCGTCGGCTGCAGATTCCTTTGGTCCATTCGAACGGAGTACCCGAGCCCGAGCGAAATTTTACCGGACGGGTTTATGAACCGGGTTTCGGGTCTGGGCCTTGTGTGTGGTTGGGCTCCTCAAGTTGAGATTCTGGCCCATAAAGCAATAGGGGGATTCTTGTCTCACTGCGGTTGGAACTCAATTCTTGAGAGTTTGCGTTTCGGGGTTCCACTCGCCACGTGGCCGATGTACGCGGAGCAGCAGTTAAACGCGTTCACGATGGTGAAGGAGCTTGGGCTGGCTGTGGAGATGCGTTTGGATTACGTTTTGGCGGATGGAGAAATAGTGAAAGCTGATGAGATTGCTAGAGCCGTCCGATCATTAATGGAGGGTGAGGATGTGCCGAGGAGGAAACTGAAGGAGATAGCTGAAGCAGCGAAAGAGGCTGTGATGGAGGGTGGATCTTCGTTTGTTGCAATTGATAGATTCATCGATAGGTTGATATCGGATATGGATCATTCCAACTCCGAAGAATAAGTTGTCAACTGATTTCATTTTAACATTGTAATTCACTAATATGCCAATGAAATAAGTTCAACAACATGATTTATAATCCAAAATGTACTTGAAATCATACCTTAAACCAAATAGAACTACTGGCTTAATATATGGATTAGAAAAGGTCACTCATACATGCATTCACTCAGAGCTAATCGAGTCTGAAAGTCAATAAACAAACTCAAAACTTAAAACTGAATTTCTTACTGAAATTAGATCAAAGCGTGAGAGCATTAAAGAAGAAGGAATTTCTTGGGTGAATAGAGAGGGAAATTGTGTAAAGACCAAAACCATAGTGTTCTAAAGGAATGTTTGTTTTCTAAAATATAAGATATTTTCACGTTTATAAATAAATATTATTTTATCAAAAAATTGAAAATACTATAATGTATCTCTCAAGGTTATTATCCATATTTTATCGAAAATATCCAAATTAAATCGAAATTTAGAAACAAAACTTCGTTTATTTTGGTCTTGAAACAAAAAACTAAAATTAATCAACAACCATACTGAACCAATTTTTACGGTAACCTTCTTCTTCGATTAACCGATAACCAGAAAACCGGTTCGGTTGGCTCCCGTTAACCGAAGTTGCAGGCCTAATCCTGCTCTACTCGGCCAGCAAGCTATCGGTTAATCGACAGAGACGGAGTCAGTCATCATGGCTACCTTCTCAACATCACAACCTCTCTCCCTGCCACGTCATCCAACCTCCTCCAATCCCAATCAACCAACCACCAATAACGAACGCTCCCGCCACACAATCTCCCTGATCGACCGTTGCTCAAACCTCCGACATCTCAAACAAATCCACGCCCAAATGGTCCGTACGGGTCTCTTCAACGACTCTTACTCAGCCAGCAAGCTCTTCGCCCTCGCTTCCCTCTCTCCCTTCGCTTCCCTCGATTACGCCTGCAAGGTGTTCGATCAAATTCCCCAACCAAACTCCTTCACTTGGAACACACTCATCCGCGCTTACGCCTCAGGACCGGATCCCGTAAGAAGCATCTTGGTATTCCTTGACATGGTTTCCGACAGCCGATACGGTCCCAACAAGTACACTTTCCCTTTCCTCATCAAAGCCGCTTCCGAAGTTTCGTCCTCCTCTCTTGGTCAGTCTCTTCACGGGATGGCTATTAAATCAGCTGTTGGATGTGATGTCTTCGTGGCGAATTCTTTGATTCATTGTTACTTCTCTTGTGGTGATTTGGATTCGGCTTGTAAAGTTTTCACTACGATTCAAGAAAAGGATGTTGTTTCTTGGAACTCGATGATCACAGGGTTTGTGCAAAAGGGGTTTCCAGATAAGGCGTTGGAGCTTTTCAATAAGATGGAGACGGAGGAGGATGTTAAGGCCACTCATGTCACTATGGTTGGTGTCTTGTCTGCTTGTGCAAAGATGCGGAATCTCGAGTTTGGGAGACGGGTTTGTCGTTACATCGAAGAGAACAGAGTGAAGGTGAACTTGACGTTGGCTAATGCGATGCTTGATATGTACACAAAGTGTGGAAGCATAGAGGACGCGAAGAGGCTGTTTGATACGATGGAGGAGAGAGATAATGTGACGTGGACGACAATGCTTGATGGGTATGCGATTTTGGAAGATTACGAAGCGGCTAGAGAGGTTCTTAACTCTATGCCTAAGAAGGATATTGTTGCTTGGAATGCTCTTATATCTGCTTATGAGCAGAATGGTAAACCTAACGAGGCGCTCTTAGTGTTCCATGAGCTGCAGCTTCAGGAGAATATTAAGCTGAATCAGATCACTTTGGTGAGTACTTTATCGGCTTGTGCTCAGGTAGGGGCGCTGGAGTTAGGTAGATGGATACATAGCTATATCAAGAAACATGGCATTAGGTTGAATTTTTACGTTACGAGTGCTTTGATTCATATGTATTCGAAATGCGGAGATCTTGAAAAGGCACGTGAGGTGTTTAGTTCTGTAGAGAAGAGAGATGTGTTTGTGTGGAGCGCAATGATTGGTGGCTTAGCGATGCATGGATGTGGAAACGAAGCTTTGGACATGTTCTTTAAAATGCAGGAGGCTAATGTAAAGCCTAATGGTGTGACCTTCACCAACGTCTTCTGTGCTTGTAGCCATAGTGGTCTTGTGGATGAGGCTGAGTCGTTATTCGGAAAAATGGAGTCAACTTATGGTATTGTCCCTGAGGACAAACATTACGCTTGCATAGTCGATGTTCTTGGCCGCTCAGGTTATCTTGAAAAAGCTGTGAAGTTCATAGAAGCGATGCCGATTCCTCCAAGTGCTTCTGTCTGGGGAGCGCTTCTAGGAGCTTGTAAGATCCACGCCAATCTGAGCCTCGCTGAAATGGCTTGTACACGTTTGCTTGAGCTGGAACCTAGGAACGATGGCGCACACGTGTTGTTATCAAACATATACGCAAAGTCTGGTAAATGGGAAAGCGTTTCTGAGCTGAGGAAGCACATGAGAGTCACTGGACTTAAGAAAGAGCCAGGATGCAGCTCAATTGAGATAGATGGGATGATCCACGAGTTTCTCTCTGGAGACAATGAGCACCCGATGTGTGAGAAGGTGTATGGGAAGTTAAACGAGGTTATGGAGAGGTTGAAAGAGAATGGCTATGAGCCAGAGATGTCCCAGGTTCTGCAGAGTATCGATGAAGAAGAGATGAAGGAGCAGTCTTTGAATCTGCATAGTGAGAAGTTGGCGATATGTTATGGACTGATATCAACGGAGGCTTCAAAGACGATTCGGGTTATTAAGAATCTAAGGGTGTGTGGAGATTGTCACTCAGTTGCTAAGCTAATATCTCAGCTCTATGATAGAGAGATCATAGTGAGGGATAGGTATCGGTTTCATCATTTTAGAAATGGACAGTGTTCTTGTAACGATTTCTGGTGAAAAGTTCAGATTCTTTTTCATTGTCAAAATTTTGTATTACAATTATTTCATGATCATCAATGTAGTGATATATATATGGACTTCCTCTCTGTGCCATTAATTACCAGAACTGTGGACATGTACTGTACTGTCATTTTTCTAATCATTTTGGACCTTTGATAGTTTGTTAAATCCCAGGATATTCATCAGCCAACGAGTACTTGTTGTGTGTCATCATCATCAAACTAGACTTTGTCTATTGGATTCTGGAGGGATCCCATTGGTATGTTCCTCCCCATTCAGCTTGGATATCGAAGTAAGTTTGTTGGTTGGCTGTCTCTATTTTTTCATACATTTATGATCAAAAGGTTTACACTAGAGTTATACAAAAAAGAGCTTGAGTAGATACAGTGTCCTAAGATCTTGTAATACTTTCCATCATTAAAAGGTTTGGATCAAGTATAAAAAGTAAAATCATTGTTTCTAAAGCTTTCAATCTTTTGTTTTTTGAAATAATTCGAAGAGTCTTTATTAATAAAGTAGACTTTTTTTTTGCTATGGAGGCAAAGTTTGACACTTTGTCATTCTATAATTTGTTGAATAATTTTAAAGCCAATTATAAATATTTTTTATTTTATTTGGATTTTAATTGAATTTTACATTAGGTATAATTATAAGAATTTTTTATTTCATAAATATCTAATTTTAATACTATTTAAAATATTTTCTATATATTTTATACTATTTTACATTTATAATATTATATTAATAAAGTAGTTTTTTTTCTATGGAGGCAAAGTTGACACTTGTCATTCTATAATTCGTTGAATAATTTTAAAGCCAATTATAAATTTTTTTTATTTTATTTGGATTTTAATTGATTTTTACATTAGGTATAATTATAAGAATTTTTTATTTCATATCTCATTTAAATATCTAATTTTAATAATATTTAAAATATTTTTCTATATATTTTATACTATTTTACATATATAATATTAAATTTACATTAAAATATTATTTATATAAAAATATAAAAAAATAATAAAAGGTAGAATTTTAGTCACAATATCTTATATATTAAAACAGAAGTCATAACATTGATTCATGTGTGATTTTTTAAAAAATGGACTATCACTAGAAACTATTACTATATGTATTTCATTAAAACTAATAATCATAATATCTTTTGATATCTTTTCATTTTTCATTTTGAATATAAATATATTTATTTAAATTCTAAAAATTATGTTTTAAATGATTTTATAAGATCTTCATGTTCGATATTATCTTTAAATACTTTCAGTAATTTCGAAATTAGTTTAAAATATTATTAAACAATAATAAATTCAGTTAAGTTTATAAAATAAAAAATAAAAAATTATATCATATTATTTATTATATAATCATAATCAATCAGATTAAATTATTATATTAACCTAAATATAAGAAATTGTATTAAATTGATAAAATTATTTTTTTTTCATAAATATAAACTATTTATGCTCAAAATAAAATCTAATATGTTGGTAAGACAGGTTAACATTAGCAAACTATATAATACATATATAAATTAACATGTAATTCATTAAACCTAATAATATAAAATATTTATAACTATTTTAATAATGATATCTTTTCATTTTAAATATAGATATATATATATATATATCTATGTATATTTAATTTTAATTTTTTTAATAAATATGTGTAAAAATATTACAATAAGCTAATGTATTTTATGTTATCGTTATAAAATGAAAAAAATTTAAATTATATCATATTTGATTTACTTCATAATCATAATCATCATGTTAAAAAACAATTAGTATGTTGAACTAAATATGATAAAAGTATATTAAATATATAAATTTTAATTTCATAAATATAAAATATTTATTTTTAAAATATAATATGATGACATAACGGCTTAAAACTAGCTAACTATATAGTACATTTCTAAAAATTAACATATCTTAGACTTTTGTATATACAATAAATATTATCCAAAATAAATAAACATAAAAATATTGGTAAAAAAATACAGCTTTGAAGGTCGGGTCAGAATTTACCATAAATTAAATATAAACTAATTTTCAAATATGTTTTCTCATTAAGATATTAATTTGTTTAATAACTAAATGCAAAATACAATACGATAAATATATAATAAGAAGTTACAAATACATAGTTTTAACAATTGATTAATATAACATGTAAATTATAAAATTATTGTATTTGTAATAGTTATATAAACATTTAAGTATATAATTAACGTTAAAAATATATTTCATTTATATTCTAAAACAAATATTTATGTATAGAAAATGAAAATAAACACCCGCGCGGTTGCGCGGACCAAAATCAAGTTTTTTATTTTAATTTTAGAGTACTCTCTGTTTATTATGATATTAACCTGCGAAATAAATATAGTGTTGATTTTATTTTATTGTTGTCTAACTCTTTGTTAATTATAATAATTTTAAGAAATGACGTAATAATTATAAAATATAAAATTATTTAAAGTTAGGGTTATTTAGTATTTCAGTGATATTGATTTGTAAATAAATGGTAAGTTTTAGAGGTATTTTTTTATTTGTATTTTCCTTTAATAAGATAAACTAGTTTTTGACTCGTGCAGGTGTATACTCTACATAATTATATGTTTTTGTTAGTTGTAAAAACATTAAAGTTACTGATTTATTGTTTATTGAGCTGTGACATTAGTGTATCTTGTTCAGTTTGTTTATCGTATACTTTTATGCTATGCGATTGTATTCATCTATTATTATATTTTTTAATTTTACTTGGTACAGTAGAATGTTGTGTGTGTTTATTATATGATACTATTAATGTTGTGATTAAAATTATATTTGAATTTATAATGTAACAATTTTTTAAAACAATTATATTATTTAGACAGCAACAATAAAAACTAATTGGAAAGTAACACAAATAAGATTTAAAATAAGTAAAGATTTATAGTAATTACATTTAGCAAGTGCAAATACATTGAATTGGGCCTATTGGTATAATTGAAATTGTTACATCATATTTTATAAAAAAAATACTATTACGATCAAAATTAAGACCCATGTGTATTTTTTTCAGAGAGAAAACACAGAAACATGTATTACTCCGACGAATTTTTTCAACCGATATCTTTGTCGGTGCCGTCTCTTTTTTCTTGTGAGATCTTCGTAATCTCCTGTGAAGTTTTCACTCAAAGGATGATAGAAGTTTGATCTATTGAATACTACAAGTTAAACTTTATTTTTTTATGATTAGTTGTTTTCTAATCTATATTATGTGTTAGAGTCCATCCCCGGTTTAATCAAGAAGAAAAAACCTCTTGCATGTTACAGATTGTGGATCGAATCAGTATAAGCTCTTCTTTGTTCGCAGTTTGCAAGTACTAATTTCTAGGACTTCGTCTTGATATTAAGTCTTTATTCTTTGCAAGACAATTCTAATAGTTCTGAATCCATCATAAATCAAAGTGTTTAGCTAAAGAGTACGATGGAATGAGTTCACAAATTGGCTTCATTGTTATAGTTATGACTAATTATGAAGATCATAGACTATTGTCAATTAGAGATGTTGGATTGACATGATTGTCTCAGTTATGTTAAAAAGCTATATTTAAAAATGATGTTGTGTCTGGCATGATGTACAAAGAAAAGAAACCAAAAGTTATTTCAGAGTTTATTAGCTGATGATCCGAATGGCTTTGAGTCAATCCCTTAAACTAATCAAGGTCAAATTCTTATATTTATTTTATTCTAAACCGGGTTTATATTATGCATGTCTGTGTAATCTTAGAGATTTGTTAAGATTAGTTTTCTAAAATCAGTTCGCTTACATAGATGCCAATTCAAGTTTGATATTCAAGCTCCTGTGACCCTTTCCGTGTTATTATTAAACTTGTGCTTTCTATTTTACAAATTCCATCGAAGCTTAACTCCTGCTGTAACCAAGCAACAGTAACCCTATTAGTCACTCTAGTAGGAAGCGCAAATTAATATTGATCAAATGATGTCTTTAGATTGGCTTATGACTGATTGTTTTTAAGTATTTCATTGGGTTTACTTTAATGATTGTGTTTGAGTTAACATAAGTATGTGGGTTTTAGTAAAGTTTCTCATGTTTGAATAATCTGTTAATTGTTATACAGAACATATTTCAGGGATGATTATGTTTTCAAGTATGACAGATCAATGTCTGTGATTTACCACAATATTTTTTGCAGGATATTGTACTGTGGTAGAAGTGACATCAATTTCTTGGAGGCTACCCCAATGAAGTATATACTTGGCAAATATCAGGACCAAAACACGGTTAGTAATATACTGACTTAGTTTAAATTTGGGTAATGTTGAGTTTATACCATGATAAGTGTATAAGAAGAAAGCAATTAAGAATTTTTTTAAAAAATAATTAAAAATGAATTTTCAAAATATTAATTTTAAATGTTGTTCAAAATTTTTTAAAAAAAAGTAAAGGTGTTTAATTATAGATTTCTTTTGTTTAGGATTTTAAAAAATGGAAATTACTATCAGCTAATAATTAAAATTAATAAATATACAACTGTCATATGTTACAATCATGTTAATCAGCAATTTTGAAGAATCAAGCTCAATACATTTTTAAAAAATTATTTTTCAAAATCCTTTACAGCTTTTTTTCAATTTTTTTTTTGTTTAGGATTTTAAAAAGTAAAATTTCTAAAAACACTGTTAAATATTTTTTAAAGTTACTTTTTACTAATAAATAAATTTTAAATTTACTTTTTCAAAATTCGTTTTTATTATCTTATTATATATATATATATATATTAAATCATTATATAATTTAACACATGTCACAAAATTCATTTTATTTCCTTTTTGCAAATCCTATACAAAAAATAATATTTGTAAAGTGTATTATTAGTTACCAATTGGCTTTTCCAAAATTTTAAAGAAAATCTTATTGTAAGAGTTTCTTTGATAGTAATTTTGCTTTTAATTTTAAATATGTTAAAATAAATCAAGATTAAAAAAAATATATACTAACATGATAAAAGTAATTTTACAAATAAAAGAATTTTAAAAATTAATTAATAGCAATTTTGTAAACCATTTTCTTTTACAAAATATAAACAAAAACAGATTTTCAAAATAATTTATTTGATACTAATTTTCTTTTTCTAAAATAATGAAGAAATGGTAACTGGAAAAACTATTTGATACTAATTATCTTTTTCTAAAATCTTGAACATAATAAAATTATAAAAGAGTGTCTAACAGTAGTCTTCCATTTTTCAAATCCTAAACAAACAATATTTGTAAAATAATTATATGAAATAATTTTATGTTCTTTTATGTTTAAACTGGTGATGATTTTTATTGTTGTTATATTTGTCATTCTGTCGTACGTTAGTTATTGCCATAGTTATACTTAGGTGTTTGTATGTAGTATAGATGTTTTGATATTGTATGTAGGTTAATGTACCTGTTATGTTTTTGTGTGTTTGTTTTATAGGCACTAAAAAATTAGTTATGCTATTTTTTTTTTGAATTTCAAATTACTTATGTTGTTGTAGTTAAGTTAATGACAATGGCATTTCTTACCTTTATGTATCATTTTGCTTATGTATGATTGTAAAATTATTTAATTAAAAACCTTAACTGTAAAAATAGTAGTGATAAGAATTGTAAAATAGTAGTTAATAAAATATTTAATAGTATTAAAATAATTATCTGATAGTAATCTAATTTTTGGTAATTCTAAATATAAATATAAGAGTCTATAAATTATAATGTTTTCTTTTTCAAAATCATAATAAAAAAGAAAAAATTTAAAATTATTTAATAGTAATTTAAAACATAAAGATTTTGATGATAAACATGATACTAAAACAATTTAGTACTAATTATTTAGTAGTCTTCCATTTTTTCAAATCCTAAACAACCAATATTTGTAGAATAATTATTTGAAATATTTTTAATATTCTTTTATGCTTAAACTGGTGATGATTTTTATTGTTATTATATTTGTCCTGCTGTCGTACGTTAGTTATTGCCATAGTTATGCTTAGGTGTTTGTATGTATTATAGATGTTTTGATATTGTACGTAAGTTAATGTTCATGTTTTGTTTATGTGTGTTTGTTTTATAGACGCTATAAAATTAGTTATGCTGTTTTTTTTTTTTGAATTTCAAATTACTTTTGCTGTTGTATGTACCAGTTTTTTATGTATGATTGTTAAATTATTTATTATAAACTGTAACTGTAAAAATAGTAGTGATACGAATTGTAAAATAATAGTTAATAAAATATTTAATACTATTGAAATAATTATCTGATAGTAATCTAATTTTCAGTAATGCTAAATAGAAGATAATTGTAAATGATTGAATGATATAATTTTTATTTTCTAAAATCTTAAACAAAAATGTAAAATAGTATTTGATAATATTTTTAACTTTTAAGTTATAAATAAAAGAGTTTATAAAATATAATTTGTTCTTTTTAAAAATCATAAGAATTTTTTTTAACATTAATTAATAGTAATTTAAAACATAAAGATGTTGATGATAAACATGATACTAAAACAATTTAATTAACTAAAAAAAAATCAAATATAGGATTTTGTTGTGATTCGTTGTTATATTGGTATATGTATGTGTTTGGTCATACAATAACAAACACATGTTTGGTATATTTTTGTGTTTGGTCATAAAAAATATATTATTATTATTCTCAACGTAAATAATGTTTATGTGTTTAGTCAAAAATAATTCATATTTCATCGTCATCTTATTACATTTGGGTTTTAATATATAGTATTTCTAATCTATCTTATTAAACTGTTTTTTATGAAAATATAAGATTAAATGGATTTAGAAAATTAATAAAATTAAATATATTAAATTAAATATAGAAAATTATTTAATAGCAGAAAAATTTAATAAAAATGGCCTAATTGTTATTAGAAAATGAGAAACAAGTAATTTGAAAAATAATTATAGATTAAATACACATAGGAAAAATTACAAATTCAAAAACTAGAAAAACTAAAGAAATTATTTGAAATACTATAACTTGAATACCATTTTTAATACTATATAAAAAACCTATAACATCTCAATTTAGGATTTAGTGTGAAGTGTTTAATATTTAAGGGATGAAACTAAATTTATGAAATTATATAAAAATTCCAAATAATATTATATACTTAAAATGAAATTAGAAAATTTTCTTTATTACCTCTAAGATTGTCTTCTTCAACCTTATTACAATATATAATAAAATTATTTATTTATTTATTTATTTTAATATTTATCATCACCATTAAGAATTGACAATTGTATGATATTGTCATTCACTTGACTGACCTGCTTTAACTTTCAATTTTTTTATTTCACTTTAGTTCTTAACTTGAACTGAAATGGGTTTAAATTTTTAGATATGAGTATTTTTTATGGCCTTAGGTACAAAACTAAAAATAATTCACTTATGTGCATGATTATTAAAATACAAATATTGGTAACATGATTATTAAAATACAAATATTTACCAATATTTATGTGGGTAAACAAATTCTAATTTCTAAAATAAATCTCAAATAAAATATTATTTTATGTCTTTTTTAAAATTAAAACATCAATAAACTATGTATTTATTAAAATATAAATACTAATTGGAATTTTTATGAAAAATGAATTCTTAGTTTCTAACATAAATCTCACACAACATATGCACAAAAATCATAAAACTATAAAATGAATTATTATTTTTATATTTTATAAATATTTAAAACATTAAATAAAATACAACACACGGATGCATATCTAGGATAAAATAAAATTACATAAGTAAAATATTATTTCCATAATGTTAAGTTACTTTATTTCTCTTAAAAAAAAAACAAATAATTGGAATTATATTTTTGTTAAAAAAATTTAGTAAAAATACTATAAATGTTTTCAAAAAAGATAAATATATTTTTGTTTAGGTCCCCTATTTTTCCACACCCTTCCGAGGAAAATCACACCGTCTTATCATTCATTAAACTGGCCCTTCCTCGTTCTCATCACTATCTTCTTCTTCACTCTCGCTTTCATTGGGCTCAGCGAGCTCAAACGTGTGGTCTGAAGTGTGTTGCTGGTTGAATCTTCCTGGAACCTTTGAAGGATTCTCGTAACAGTCTTTGCAAAGGTCATAACCAACTTCCTCCTTGCAGTCTTTGCAGCTGTATCGATCCCCTATGATAGGATACACCTGCAAATATCACATCAACGTATCATTCACACGTTTGGGTTTGTCTACTAATTAATAAGAAGCTGTTCAGAATAATAATGTACTTACTCCGCAAGAATCACAACCAGTTCCGACGTGAACATTAGAAGCAGGGCTTGCCCACCAAGGAGGATTATTGTTGTTGTTTTCTTCTGATGAGGATGTGCCTTGGTTGTGATAGCTTTGAATGTCTACATGTCAGGATAAAATGACTCTCTGTCAACATATGGTTTATAGATTCCTCGTGTATCATTGTATTAACACGAACTTACTTGCAAACGTTTTCTGAATCCCACTTTTTCTTGAATTGTATTCTTCTGGAAAGTTTTCCTCCAAAAACTGCTCAAGACCCCAACAAACTTTGAGAAATCTTCTCGGGTCACAAACATGACACTCCTTACATTTAATCTTATTGCTTTCTTGATCCATCATATCTACTACACAACCTTCGCAATATACTGTAAAAAAGGATGAAGCCAGGATATAAGCACATGGAAAACTCAGCAAGAGAGAAAAGCAAAACAATGTAAGATGATGATGATACCATGTCCGCAATTGAGAGCCACGGGTCGGACAAGCAGCTCCTTACATGCTGGACAGAGCAAATCATCTTTTGAAATATGTTTACTGACTTTGCCATTTTTAACTAAGTCATTCTCATGAATGTCAACTGTTTTTGCATCTTTGGGTTCTTCATTGCTGGGTACTAACTTTGCGGGACTAGAGCAAGCTTCCACCTTCTCTTCATCTAAATACAACAGATAGTAAACATTGAACAGTTCACTAGAATGCAAAAGACTGCGGAAGAAAAGAGAGTCTGATGTGCGGTTAGAATGACCAGAGACAAATAGAGAACCTCGAGAATCATCCTTAGCCTTTGAGTCATCCATCTGAGGAGAGAAACAATCTAGTTCTTGTTCCCACTCTGAATCATGGCATTTAAAAAACTATAATCAGCCAAAGGTTCACGAAGATATATAGTCAATCTAGAAATAAAACTCTGACATAGGGAACTGTATAAGCAAAGAACTCACGTAGAACATGTTCTTGTCTCTTGTTATGAGAAAGTGGGTATAGCTTCTTCAGCAAGAAATGAAGCTTTTGGCAAACAGCTGGAAAGTGAACATAAGGGTCTCTACATATCGGACAATGAGACTCACGCAGGTCATTCATGGACTCATGTACGCACCAGAAACACGATAGGTGACCGCATGCTGCAATTGCAATCCAAAAGAAGCATCAAAATATCAAACAGAAAAAAAAAAAAAAGAAAAAAGATTGCTTGTGACTAAAGTTACTTACATAGCACAATCGGCTTGTAAAGAAGTTCCCTGCTCAAAGAAACAACACAAAGTCCATTACAGAACCAGACTAGGAAGTCTACGACAAAGAAAAGGGTGAGAAATAGAGAGAGGCTTACAGGCAGACGCAGCAGAGAAACTTATCGGATATTTCTTCTTCTTCTTCTTGTAGCTCAGCGTTTTTCATCGTAATATTCTCCATAGGTGGCCGCTTTTGCTTAGCCGAGGTTCACAATAAACCGCCGTTGCTACTTTCAAGTTTAATATGGAGTATTATTAGGTCTCTTTTAGGTGATCCATAGTACAATTTAAGAGGGCCAATATCAGGCCCGGCCCACTGCTTAGGGCTCAAACGTTTTTCTTTTCTTTAAAATAATTTTGTATTAATTTTAGTTGGACTTAAAAGGGGTACATTTTTTTTATTCTTAATGGACCCTACGTAGACATTGACCGGTCTCGCATAATTTACATGAAATTATCGATAGTACTATTTTAAAACAGCCTAAAATTGTTTTATTTTTATTTTTAACAAGCCTAAAATTGTTTATATACCAAATATATGGACTTTGGGTTAAGACTTCTTTGGAAGTCTTCTCGATAAAAATCAAATATAATCAATTGCAAAAATAATATATGCATACTTTCACAGATCGTGAATAAATTTCAGGTAAAAGTTGATAAGATTTCTATGAAAGTCTTCTGTCGAAAGACTTATGAGAAAGTCTTAAATAAAAAATCAAATTTCTGACACAATTCGTTTAATTACAGAACTAACTTATTTATTCGGAAAGATTTTTCTTATATTTTGAGAATTTTTGAATTGCAAAACTAAGCTAATATTTACAAATGAAGACTTTCTTAGAAGTCTGTTGTATAGTAAACTTTGGAAATTTTCCTTTATAAGTTTTTAATTGCAAAAATGACCTAAATGGAAGATTTCCGTGGAAGTCTACTTCAAAAAGACTTCTCCAAGAAGCCTTTCATGGAAGTCTTCTACGTCAACGTTTAATAATTTCTAAAACTAAAAATACTTTTCAATATTTTCTTATTAAATCATGTGTATCCCCTATATATTAATCCTGGAGTATTACAACATTGTTTCATAGTCACGTGTCATCACCAGGACAATTCTCAGAATCCTTAGAAAAATAAATTGGTTCATATAATATTATACATTTTATTAAACTAACTATCAAATTAGTTATTAATGTACAAAAGAATATTCTTGCCTTCCTTAAATAAAAGTTACGGAATTACCAAATATGATTAACATACATATGAAAATTAATAATTATGCATATTTGACAACAATTTTTGTATCCTTTCTCTTTTTTTGTTTAAATTTATATTATTAAAAATATTTAAACAATTACATTAATCATCTAGTAATAAATTTAGTTTTTTTATTATATATTATATATAGAATTTTTGGAAACGATTATAAATTACTAAAAATGGTAAAAATCTCACATTGAATTTTTTTGATCAATGGTTTAACTTTTTTTAGTCAAGATACAAATGCTTACAAATTATATGAATATGAAGTCTCATTCATAGATATTCATATTATATATATCAGTATTATTTAAATTAAATTATATAATCTATAAAATATATAAATATGTTAATTTAAAAATTTGTAGTGAAAATTTATTGAGATTTTTAATTTTGAAATTCTTATTGGAAGAATCTCACATTAAAATTTTGTGATTTATTAAAAAATTTTGTTAGATCAAAATATACAAATGTTAATAAAATCATATGAAAAGGAGTGTAAATAATAAATATATATTAAAATTTACTATATATATATATATGTAAATGTCAATAACGTTTAATTATATACCATATAAAGTATATAAAATGTTTGTTTTGATATATTTACGAAAAAAATGATTGTAATTAACAAAGGTATTAGTTTTGATTTATGAGCTTACTCTAATGTATATACTTTTATGTATACAAAATAATTTTAAATAGGTAGTTTCTAATATGTTATTTGATTCTGGCAATCTCAGAAGTACACTTCTTTAAATCGAAGTGATTTTTAATATTGAAAGCACTATATATATTACTCATTTAAATTAAATAATTTAGTCTTGATATTTATTCCTAAAAACCTTTTAATTAAATATCATGACAAGATTCCAATCATCTCCTTTTGATTTTGTTCGAAGAATGAGAAATTTGATCATTCGTATAATATTTTTTCACCATAATACCAGTCTAGCTATTATAATTTATCCGAACAAGACTTAAAATCTTAATTCTTTGAAATCCAAACTAGGTCCGAAGATATATGAAATTAGTATAATATGTTAATTCTTTTTTTATAATTCACAGTAATTTAAATATTTTATTGTATTCAATTTTTTTTAGTTTGTTTTATTTTTATTTTGAATACCCTTTAGTTAGTATAGATAGTTTAACTAATTTTAAATTAGATTTACAAAAAAAAAAATATTGCCATTTTGTCAATTTTGAGGTTTCAAAAATATTTTTTGGAACGATTTCATATTTTAGTTACAATCCGATCCAAACCAAATCCAGAAGGAACCAACCAAATCCGATCCGATAATTAGTAAAACCTGAATGAGACTGAAGAGCATAATACCAAAATTTGAAAGATCTGAATCAACAGAACCGAAACCGACGGACCCCCGAACGCTCAAGTATATGATATATATGGTAAATGAGGGAACAAGGAAGATGGGTCTCGAAAGAAGAGTAGGTGTAATAAAAATTATATGGCATTGGGGTAAGCAAATTTCTAAGTATTATGGTATCATTAAACCAATAAATACTAGCTCTTCGGAGTTTTCTGACCCAGATTATTTATGAGAAAACTAAGTTGGAATTGTAGAGGGTTGGGAAGTAAATGGACGGTTAGTTATCTCAGCGAGATATGGCATAAACATAGACCATATTTTCTGTTTTTATAAGAAACAAAGCAAAATCTTGAGTTTGTACTACAAGGATTTCAATCACATTTTGGTTATGATAGCTTGGTGACATTAAATCCAAATGGAAAGAGCGGGGGCCTAGCCTTATTTTATAATAATGAGTATCAGGTAAACATCTTATATTCTAGTGACCGGATGATCGATATCGAGGCTGTGGCTATTGGGAAAAAAGTTTTCTTAACTTTTGTGTATACCCTGACCAAAAACTAAGAGAACAAGTATGGGAACGAGTAACCGAACCTTGGTTTATTATAGGAGATCTGAATGAGATAACTGGAAATCATGAGAAAGAGGGTGGACCTTTGGGAAGTGCGAGCTCTTTTGCCCCATTTAATAGCATGATCAGAGATAATGGACTGTTAGAATTTCCAGTTCGGAGGAAAAATTATCTTGGCAAGGGCGTCGAGGAAAAAGAAAGGGTCTGTGATGATTACATGTTGTCTGGACCGTGCTTTAGCAAATGAGGAATGGTTTAAAATTTAGGTTGTTTGGTAAAGCTGTCCTCATCAATCTAGAGTTTAAGGAATGGATTTAAAATTAACCCTTAGTTTTGATAATTTATAGCAATCACAAAATGGATCTGTATAAATCAAAGAAGATGATTCTGATCTACCTGACATAACATCTTCTTTGCGCTTGGCTTTTGGCGTGTGCACCCTATTTTTCTTTAATAAGATAGATGCATAACGTTCACAGAAAATCGTTTCATCCTAAATGGATCTCCTATAACATTACACTAAAAAATACTAAACATAACAACTGATGTGACAGAAAAAAACACGTTAATAGACAAAAAAAATGATTGCAACAAAAAATGGTTACATGGAAATCAAGGTATATGAACATATATAGTAAACCAACAACATAACTACGGCGTAAACTACATTCACATGAAATATAATATCCAACTTCAAATTGACGATAAGCCAAACTTAGCTCAAATAAATAAAGTTGTTTTCATGTCTTATCACTCATTCATCAATCATCTCAAATCGTCTACAGTCAAAGTTGCAAAATTCACATGCAATTTACTTTTACATTAAGGAAAATTAAGAGTATGACCAATAACCACTAACATAACAGCCATAACTGAAGCAAACAAAAGAAAATGTAAATAATATAAATGCTTATCCTTCTTTGGCACATGATATCTGCCTTCTTCACTACACACTCAAATATCACGAGAACCTATTATTCTTTCTTCGGGATATCCAACAACGAAAACCAGAAGACTGTAAAATCATAGAAGTATACATCTATTGACCTAAAATTAAACTATAATTAACAAATTATAACAAATTTATAATTCAAAAATCAGCAATAAAACAACTAAAGACAAACGTGAAATTTAGAAACATAAACCTTTCCTTTCTACTAAGATACTTTTGAAGAGATAGTACCTTAATGCATAATACAATTTTTCCTAGAACAAATGACTAATTAACTATTTAGTAAAAACAACTAAATATCCTAATGAACAACAAAAAGAAAGAATGTCCAATAACTACAAAACACAATAACTCAATCTATGTTTGTTAGAAATCCGTATCGACCATTTAATTTTAACATATTCCAACAACATCATACAAAGCAACATATACACAATATAAAAGTTCATCCATAAATCTATATAATAATAGTACACTTTTAAAGCTCCTCAATGTGTCCACGTCAGCAAGTTTGCGGGCCCCGCGCGTGTTATTAGGGAAAACAAAAACGTATAACATTTTGTAAGATTGAATGTTATCGATGAGTGATGAAATGGCCCAGTGGTGTAAGTTGGTGACGAGAAGTTGGTACCGCGAGTGTGCGGGTTCGAAACGCAGTGCTTGCATGTATTTTTTTTTTTAGTTTGGGCTTTTCGGGATACCTAAAAGCTTAGGGAGATTCAGAATGATTTTTTTATGCTGGTTGTTGGGATACAAAAAGGCTTAAGGATTTGAAACTTTATGACACCATATTAGATACTTTTATAAGAAAGGTTATTATGTTCTAACCTCCGATATGATTTCAATTCAGTTATAATCATCAAATAAAATAAAAACATATTTTTCAATAATAAATATTTACCCCGAACCATTCAGATCGGCCATAAATCTCATATACATCACAATTAAAAAAAAAATATATATACAACATAATTTCAGAAAGAAAATTACACTAATAAACACATGTTCTTTTTTGTCTTGTCTCCATTAAATTATTTTTTACATGAAAGCACTAATAACAGTAATGCTCG